GGGTAGAAGGCAGAAGCCATAGAAGCAGAAGAGTAATTGGAAACAGTAGGGGTTAATGGACAGTACATACTAAAGCGAGGGGCACTATGCCGGAAAGAGGGAGTGTGTGCTCACACACACGCGTGGGCATGCGTGCGTGTCCCAGGATGGCACGATAAGTGTGTCATTTCCCAAGCATACAAGGGAAAGAGGAGGTATTTCACAGCACAGGGCCATTCCTGACAACAGCTTTTAAATCCCTGGAGGAGCACCTGTTCGCTTTCCACAGCAGGGCTTTCTCCATCTCATGAATTATCACCATCTCCATCCTTCAGCATTGAAACTTAGAGTGAGCTTATATTTTTCTAGTGGAGAATCTCCTTGGAGTTGCCCTCTGCAGCTGAGATGTCACAATAAGAAATCAGACTCTTACTTACTGAGAATCTTCAAATGCATGAATTTAATCTAATTGTAGTGTTCTGAAAAATGTATCTAGAGGCCCTTGGGTACACTTTTAATTTAACCAAAAAACACATTATTATAGTCCTTCTTAGTAACTACAAAATACCTAAATAAATTTGTGGTTTTTTTTCCTTTCTGTAGTATTTTCACGTAAATCAATCTCTCTTACTTCTTCCACCTTCATTTATTCTCATTTCTCATCTGTGAAAATTTTCAATTTATCTTTTCTGTCCTAGCAAACAAATACCAAATACAGACATGAATAGTCCCTGGCTGTGTCTGTGCAGCTGCAGGGACGGGAGGCCCTGGAGTTATTCAGGGAGTTCTTGTAGGGAAAACAGAGACATGGAGAACCACTGTGCTGGGTCCTTTCCCTCCAGGTCCTCTGTCTGGTAGGTGGGCCCCAGGGGATGTGGTGGCCGAAAAGGATGGATCTGGTAGCCAGCATCAAAGGTCAAGGATGTAAACGCACACACACCCCTGTTCTTGAATAACTCATTCCAAATCTGTCATCCTTGACTTAGAAATCTTTTAGATGTTAGTTTTACTTTTAATGAGTAAGAGTTTCTTGTACAATGAGTTCCCGGAGTCTACAGTCTTCCACCTGGATCTGTGACTTGGATGAGCCAGAGCAATCGGCTTCCCCACTCGGATCAACATGAATGCCTCGGCCTGTGTTCCTTCTCACTGGGCATTTTTGGCAAAAACATCAAGAGGAAATGACTGTGAGGCCCTCCGTTCACATAGTGCATAGGTATGGTCACCATATCTGTCACTGTTTGCTGTTTGCTTTTGAAAAGTTTTATATCCGGGATAGTTATAAGAATATGTTTTACTTGGAGAATCCAGATAAACAAAAATCTGGTCAGTTCTGATAGGTTTGGGTTTAATCGTGTCTTTTTAAAAGATTATTTAATTTGTTATGAAGAGTCTCGAAATGTAATATGAAAATATCACATATAAATCTACAGACATCTTGGAATGTCCCCCATCTGCTAACAGTCCCAGGCTCCTGTACAGGAGAGTTTGAGTGCCCAAAGCTTTACTAAACCAGACCGCTTTAAGGTCTTTTCTTTATCTATCATAGCCTTTTTTTCCCCTCTGCAAATGTACTCTTCAACTACATTGAGCTGCTTATTTGTAATTCTTGGAAAAACTATACTTATATCTCTGTGCCTTTGTACATTTTGTTCCTTTTGCTTAGAACTACTTTTGTCATCTGTCAAATACAACTGTTGAAAACCCAGTCTGTGGGGCCCTATTTCAGATTCATTTACTTCACTCAAATTATTCCTTAAACTGGAATCTCATAGACCTTTGTTCCCACCTTTATTTTAATAATTCTTGAGAGTTTACTGTAATTATCTTTCACATTCCCATCTATCTTGTAGAACTCTATTTCTTCAAGAGCAGAGACTGCTTCTGCCTAGCTGTAGCAACCTAGTACACTTTGGACCAGAATAACAATGAGACAAACATTTGTTGAAACCATGAGAGACTGGGAGAATTAATGATGGGATTCAATGTCTAGAGAATTCTTATAAATGAACTGGCTCACATATGACCTCTCTGATACACAACACAATCATACAAATGCTACATATACATATGTAATATATATATGCTACATATACATATGTTATATATATATATATATATGCACCATACAGATACACATTAGACTCAAAACACACACACACACGCACGCACACACACACACACACACACACACCCAGTAAGCTACAGACCTAGGCAGAAACTGAAGAAGGTTATAGGGGTGACTTTTCTGCCTCAGAGAAGCATGTGTGTAACTTTTTGGATTAGTGTCCTTGATCAATGTTCTTTCTTGTTTGAAAGTCAAGAATATTTATTGCTACTTTTCTCCTGGTATATGAACCTCAATTCTTTACAGAAGAATTTTTTCTAACTGTTGTTAACCTAGGATGTGGTTGTTCTACCTCAAAGGGATGCTCAGCTATCTTTAGGTGTGCAATACCAGCATGCTAAGCAGAAAACTAACAAACAAATGAAGATGGACACCCACATGGGCTGATTACCTTCTCTCTATATAATTCTAATAAAATTTTCAGGACAATGAGGCTTATCATTGATCTTCCCATCATATCTCAATATGTGCCACTACTTGGCAATCTGTCAGTCAGTTTTCAATGTTAGTGACAGTCTTCCTATTCAAGCCAATTTTGATTAATTCATGAAAATCCCTTAAAGGAATATGGTATCAGACCCTTGAGTCAAATCAAGATGCATAGCATCTTCTGTTTTCACTTATCTTGTCATTTTAGGAGGAAAAATGTGATCATCTGTCTGGTGCTGTTTTGTAAACGTATAAACTCAGTCTTGGTCCTATTATCCTTAAGATAGTCACATCCTGTTTTTCAGGGATTTTTTTTTTTCCTGTTAACAGTTGTTCCATTATTGTATTAGTGTCCAAAAGGAGACCTCATAGACAGTTATGATCATAGAATAATGGAAATTAAAGATGGAAATAACAGATTAGGTCTTCTTGTCTATTTCCTAGGGCTAATGTTCTTGTCAGCCTGCAGCTCAGTGCTTTAGCTTACTTTGTTCTAAGTGACACCAGTGGGGAGGGCACCATTTCCCTAGAGTCCCTTGTCTACATCCCAAGACTGTCTCCACACACAGCCAGAGGGGATGACAAAGACCTGCACAGTTACAAAGCGAACTGTGGCCCATCCTTGCACGATCTGTCTACAAGGCTAGGGATGTGGAAGCTTCAGCGATTAACCTCCAAATCCAATCACTGCGGAAAGCCAGGCAGGATCATTCAGGGTAGAAGTGAAATGATATTTTGTAGTTGTTTTCAGGCTACGAGATAAAGATAGAGAAGTGGTTATCTATCACTCTTTGGAGTATGTCACTCAATAAATAATCACCGTCAACTCATGTTCTCAGCCATTGTATGAGCTAAAAGGATCTGGCTCCACAGCACAATGCAAATATTTAGGAGCTAGTATATGGAGGCAAATAGGCAGAATTTAAATAGTGAACAAGTCTCTTTGCTCATACCCATTTGACATGTATTAGCCAAGTTATCTGCCTTTCTCACCAATCTTTATATATATTTACCATTCTACATACATTTTCCTCTACATTTTGTGCATTGTCTCTATGATATGATTTCAAATTCAGCTGAAACGAAGCAATGCTTCATTTTCCCTAATAGAAAAATTTCATGGCATTTTGACTTCTGCAAGGTTTCTGACCTGTGACTCAGATTTCCTCTCCCTAACTTCATTCTCTCTTGTCCTTATCCCTCAACTTCAAGCTGTTTCAGAACATTTACCCTCTCCTAACATCTCTGGGCATCTATCACGCCTTGACTAGTCATCGGCCGGCTAAGTCCTCCGAGTTGAGTTCTTCTATCCCCTTATCATAAATCACTCCCCGGGACTCTTCAATCATTTTTATTGCTCCTCTCCAAACTCTCACCCATTTGTCACCATATTTATTGCTTGGCGAGTCCAGAACTACATTCCACATGCTAGGTTTGGCCTCATCAGAATCCTATAGAAGGGGCTGATCAGCGACCTCAGGAATGTGAGTCCTCCACAGCAGTGTCAGAAATGCTGCTGTTGTGTGTTCCTTGCTCTCAGATTGCAATCACATATCTCCTTTGCAGTCCAAGTAATCACTCCAAGATGATTCTGCCTTGATCTCCTCCTAGTTTTCCTTGTTCCATAGATTTTTATTACTAATTAGCATTTATTGATGTTTCTCCTCCTACTGTCCTCCACCATCCACCTAATGTAGAGGGCAGACTAGACATCCAAAACCAGGCACAAAGTCATCTTTAAAATGCAACCTAAGACTTGGTAGAGGCGATGCCTGATCCACACTGTGGGTGGAGTTAATATTACTGGATTGTAAGCTTTAAAATGGAAAGTTTCTTATATGTTTTATCACAGTATATTCAAAAATGTAAAAAATAAAGATAAAAAGGAATCTGAGAAATTACTATTTTGTTTCAGTCCTGCATGCTTTGGGGGAAAGCGAAGAGCTCATAGAGATGGTAATTTGGGATTATGCAAAAACACACTCACTCCAGGCAGGGTGCTCCTTGAGTCTCTTGCCTTTCACCCCACTGACAGTGCTGGTAAAAACAAGCTTTGCTCATGTCTGTTTCTTAAAGCTCCTCAAGCCCTAGGAGGGCTGCAATGGAGTCTGTGTGGCTTCACGTGTCTCCAACAAAGTGATCTGCTAAGCTCTGCCTGTGGAATCTGTGTGGCTGATAGTGGCGTGAAAAGGAAGAGGGACAGCTCGATTTTCAGATCTCAGCTGGAGGCAGTAGGATGCTAGTCAGAGGCATCATCTCTTGACTTGTTAGTGGAGAGAAAGATGATACATACGTCACTGGGATAGTATAAATATGGAAACACAGTGACACTTTTACTCATTTACTACTGTTCAGAATATAACCACTCGTGAACTCTATTCCTCTACGCAGGGCTAATCCACGTCATGTCTGTGTGAGGAAGCTGTGACCTGGTAAGCTACACACTTGCCATCCCCTCACTTACCCCTGGTTTGTCCCCCATTCATTCCGAATGCAAAGGTGCTTGTGGACTGGATCCTTCATGTAACCTTCATAGCAGAGGCATTCTCCTTAGAAGCAGAGTAGGAAGGAAGAAAGAGAAACATGAGTGAATTAACAGGTCTGTGTTTGAGAAAATGAACATGAAATGGTCAGATTCTAATCATAGCATGAGTGAGACAGTACATCCCAGTATGTCACATATGCCTCTCATGAATAAAGACACCTGCCAATCTTTAGCTTTCTAGTACATGACAATTTTCTCTAGTGGAAAAATCTAAAGCCTACAAAATCACCTGCTATGCATGCACTATAAGCACTAATACTTTGAGAGAAGGGACTTTTTCATCTTCTTTTTCTCAGTGCCCATTATACTTCAAGGTACTGAGTAGGTGGCTGATAAATGTTTAAAGACCACATATGGGAGATTTTTCCATCAAATATTTCTAAGAATCTTAAAAAGTAGGTATTATCAGCTCTATTAAGCTGACGAGGAACATTAAGACTTCAGAAAATGGGAGGAATTGTGGACAGCTTGTCAGTGGCATACTTAATATCTGAACCTATGTCTGTCAGACTTCAGATCCCTTTACCCACCATGCCATGCTGCAAGCCCACAGAGTACCTACCACATTTAGAGAAGGCCACATATAACGATCATGGTTTTATAGGAGATCTTGCTTTAGTTTACAATTAAAAGTGGACTAATTATTTTGAAGCTGACCTAAAAAAAATCTATATTTCTGTATTTGTTTAGGCTATTTCTATTCATTAGCATGAGCTCTGACACTGGCACACCATGAGGTCTAGAAAACTTGTGGAATTGCATGTACAATTGGGTATATACATTTTTTTTTCAAGGCAGGACTCCACGGCATTCATCCAGCTTACCATCAAAAGGTCAACATTCATTGCTCTAAAGGTCAACATTTAGAACTAATCTTGAGGAAAATTGCTGTTGCTACCTTGTTTTAATAATTTCTTAAGCAATGCCATCTTTCCCCAAACTACTGAAACCAGGTATCCTGGTGTACTTCTTTTCACTCTCTCAGTACCTGGTTGCTTAATGTATAACTAGTGAAAAACAATGTCGCTTCCAGAAAATAGTAAATAACACAAGTGCCTTGTCCTAAGTCGCTAACAGTCCTACAGTCTTGTGGAAAGGGATTTACAGTGTGTTTTGTTCATGTACCAACTCCTCACAATTGAATGGAATTATTATGTATTACAAACATATACTAATTAAAATAAAAATTGAAATAATAAATAAGATTAGCAGACAAACAAGAAAAATAAAAAAGGCAGTAGACATGAGTCTCTTGATCTACCAAGGAAGATACTTCCAAAGGACATAGATTGAATAATAGCTTTCAAGATTATTTTTTCTTTCTGAAGATAAAACCCAATAAAAGTGAAGTGAAATGGCCGCACAGTTGAGAAGCGATCAGATAATGTGAGACAGGAGTTTTTGTTGACATATTAGCTCCAGTATTCATTTCAAGACTGGCCTACACACTGCTGTCTGTCATCACCCTGTTTTTACATCACAGACATTTCTTTCCCCACATCTGCTCCACTTAAGGTAAATGTCCAAAGGCACTGTATGATACCACAAGTTAGCATCCATAACTTCTTAGTTTATGAAGATGCCACAGAAAGTATTGGAGACCAGTACTTCATGGACTACATGGCAAATTTCGGTTTCCATAACATGTCCTGCTGAAGAGTCTACTGATCCATAATCAGCCCAAATTTACTGAGCCTCAGTTGTGTCTGGAAATAATCAGGGAATATGAGTCCAACACAGGAAAACATAGCTCAGTGTGAGGTGGGTGATGACAAGGCTCGTCAATGAAAGCTGTTTGTCTGGTAGAAAGAAAGAAAAACAGGAAGCATAGGAGAGGACAAAAGAAGCAAGATGCTTGGAGGCTGGTGTCATATCTTGTCAAATACAAGAAAACATGGAACACAGACTATTAAGCTGCAGAGAGCAGGGTCAAGGTTGGTTTCCTCCAAATGAAGACTTTTCATAAATACTATGCAATGGAAGAATAAATTAATTAAGTAAAGCTTTTGTCCTAACTTTATAGATAGTATCACCCCCACCAGATACAGCTATCTAAGGCAATTAATGGTCAAGGGCTCAGACATACTTCTCCATTAGGAAAAATATATTCTCTTGATTGTCCTGTGGCAATTAGGCATGAATCTGATGTTAGAAAACAGGAAGTGACCTCAGCAGACTGCCAAACCCATCAATCTGATTGTTAAAATCATCTTTCCTAGACACCTTGCCTAGAACTACAGTTTGAAAAAAGGGAGTCCTCTTCTATAACTGATATCTAATTACTGCAGGATATGTAAAAATAAATGTAGTAACAACTCTGGGGTTCAAGCAGAGCCTTATTTTCCTGATAATGGCAGTATCTACCATTTGTATAGTACATCAGCCCCCTCAAATTGCCTTTGTAGTCATTATCTCCTTATGAGGCTTCCATCACTCATTACCATGTGGGGACACACTGCTAATAACAGATAAAGCTTTGTTCCATATAATGGCATATACAGCCCCACATCAAAGAAACAGAAATTTCCAAACATAACAAACTAGAGTTTGAGGATATCCAAAATTTGCCTCCCAGCACAGCCTCATTTCTGGAAGCCACCAAACTTCCTTCTTCTGCATTCTTCCTCAAAACCAATTTGACCATGTACCACGAAAGGAGTTCAGGCTTGATGAATAAAGTTACTATGGCAACCAATGGCTAAATCTTGACTTTAAGAGGGGTTTTGTGCAAGCACTAGCTCTGACTGTTAGCTGTGAATTTTAAAGACCCCACAAAGGTGTTGGATGCCCTCCTAAGCTAGAAGTGTTACAGTTTCCGCATCTGCTGTGACAGATGGCAGTGAACACACGAGGCGCTGACTCTGCGATAGTGTATGTAGGAATCCAATGAAGAGACTTGTTACAGCCACAGCAAATAACCCAGCCAGGATCCGAGTGTACCCTGCAGAAGGCACTTAGTCAAGTGCAATGTCAGAGAGAAGCTCTCAAGAGATAGTGCCACCCTCACTTTGTGCTTGGCACCCTGAGAACAAAAGCCCTGTAGGATAGACCGTACCTATATATTATGGACAATGCCTTTGGTCATTTCTCATTCTACATGTGAAAGACGGAGGCACAATTCCATCTGAGGATTAAAGAAAGACCTGGAAGCCGGGGCTCTCCAGGCATAACTGGGCTCACCACCAGCTCTTCACAAAGTAAACACAGATGGAGACCAAAATCCCTGCCTCATCTTTCTGCTTCAGGTAGCAATTGGAACTTATTTCATGGAATTGGATGTACTTTGTCTATAAAGGGAAATCTTCATCAGACATTTGATTCAAGTAGTATCTAACTGCTAATATCCCTCTCTATGGAGACATCAGGCAAGAGGCAGGCTTAAGGCAGCATAGCCATGTGCAACTCCTGGAGGGGAGACAGAAGGAACCTGTATCAGTTCACTGTAAGAACAGTGCTCTAAAGGAGCCACAAAAATGAGCTTGGAGGGAGGGAGCAATGCAAGTTCAGGAGTAAGCTAAGAGCTGAGCTCTTCTGCCAAACTGGGTTCAAGAACACCCAGGCAAGGTAGAGAGAGAGGCAGTGGCTCAGAGCAGGCAAAATGGTGAGGGCTGGCTGCCTGGCAACACGGTCCACCACTCATTAGCCCGTTTACACACTTGGACGTGGTTGGTTGTGGACTGTGGAAAGAGGTGGGGCAGAAGAGATTTCAGTGAATGTCTTTGACAGAGATTAAAACTGGATTGAGCTTGGAAGTCTATGCTCCTTGCAGATCCATAAATGCTATGTACCTTAAAAATGGCAATGGTGGTCTATGGTCATAATTAATGTGACATTAAGCAGACACACAAAGTCTCTATCCCGCCCAAAAGGCAGAAGGAAGCCCAGGAAAGGAATGGAAAGAAAAGCCATTGAAATCAGGTAGTCTGTTTGTATCCAGAAATAAAACACAATCGAGTCAAACACACAGAAAAAGAAAGAGAGAGAGAGAGAGAGAGAGAGAAAGAGAGAGAAAACAAAACTTAGAAAATGCAGGAAGAGTCAGCCGCAGATGGGTCCCTTGGGACGCGAAGCCATACACCCTTAGTGCTTTGAGGTCTGTTAACCTTGACAAAAAAAACAATGCAGAGGGAAGCAAAACTGAGAGAATGTGAGAGAATGTCTGTGCGCAGTTGACAAAGGCTTCATCAGAGGACGGCAGTTCTCTGCGGCCACTCAGGGTTCCTTCTGAAAGGGTGAGCCCTGAGAGAAGGGCTGCAAAATGATCAGAAGTGAGTATTCCAGTGTGAGACACCTTGACGTTAAAGCCCAGAGAGGCTATTAAGTAGGCAAATGATCTAGGACCAACGAGTTCACACCTCTATAAAACAGATTAAAATAGCATCTGTTTCATAGCATTCCTGTGAAGCTTCCATTACATAGTTTAAGTAAAGCACAATGCTTGATGCATAGTGAGCTGTCTATGAACATCACCTATCCTTACTTTACTAAAAACCATTTTTCTAGACATTTTCGATTGGTTTCCCTGACCCAGAAGAGTACTGGGGAGATAGATCACAATATGGTTTTTGAAGTTGTCGACAGGCTAAACCTAATCCTCATGCACTGAGTCACCAAACAATCAAATGCTAGGGTCACAACTTGTCATAGGTTGAGATCTTCTAGAAGGTCATAGTGCTCAACAGAAGATTGAAAATGGCAAGCATTGGGGCACATGCCTGACATTTCTCAGGCATGCCCACATTCATCAGAATATCTGTGGATCTTTCATGACTGTAAATCATTTTCTAGTCCTATTATATTCCAGAAATTGGACCAAGAGCTGTAGATACCATTCATCCTTCTTGAGTAGCTCGTTGCTAGAATGCAAATGTAGAGGGAGGCTGGAATGGAATACCGACCAGCAAGTTTCCTCCAGCGCCAGTCCTTCTAGAGCATCCTAATGTACCTTTAGATCTGGGTTGGACAGATCTGAAGAGGAAGCACTACCAAGCTAGTCTTTTCTCTTTGTCTTCTCTAATTTCTTGGTGCATTTGTTGTCTATCATCAGTAAAATATTGACCCAAACTTAGTAGTTTAAAACAACATCATTTATAATCTTATCATTCTGGAGAACAGAAGTCTGACAAAGATTTAAAGGGGCTAAAATCAAAGTGTCTACAGGACTATGTTCTTTTCTGGAGGCTCTAGAGATGTCTGTTTCCTTGCCAAGCCTGCAGTGTCTGGTTGAGTCCCTCTCACATCACATCACTCTGACTTCCTCTTCCCCCACTTCCTCTCTGACTTTGAAGGACCACTGGGAATACGTGGGGCCATCCAGATAATCGAGGATAATCTTCCTAAAGTGCAGGTGTTTGGCAATCTCTAGTCTATACACTTGACATCCTTTTGCCAGGCAACATGACACATGCAGAAATTCTCTGGATTAGGATGTGCACATATTTAAGAATTGATTTTTCTGTCTCCCATGATTGGTACTCTGGAGTAATGCGCAAGTGATGAGTAAATACATGCTTAGATGGGACAACTTTAGGGAGAATGCCTGAGAAGAGCTCCAAGCACTGGAGGCTGCTGCTCTGCATTGACTGAGCATCTCTCTCTCTCTCTCTCTCTCTCTCTCTCTCTCTCTCTCTCTCTCTCTCTCTCTCTGGAAAAGCACACAAGAACTTTTACACAGCTCCATACAGCCACATGCGTAGACCCGTCAGCATGGCTTGGAAAGCACATGCCCCAACACTTTGACATTTCGAAGCAAACTAGCTGGAGGATGGCAAAAATAATGTCGACTTGACTTGAAGCCAATTCCCACACTCAGCTCTTTGGAGAAAGGCTCTAGGATGGAGTGTGGGAGGCGATAAAGTTTCTTACTGATGAGCATGTGGGATGACCACATCATTCCATGTGCAGAAAGAAGAAGGGTGGGGGTAAGGGGGGGGCGTTCCAATTCCAGCGTTAATGAAAATAAAAGTGTCTGCAGTATCATTTCTCAGCTGCTACCAAAAATGAAGATGTTGCACCTTCGCTCTATCGCAGGGCTTGAGTTCTTTAAAATAATTTTGTTTTGTATCAGGAAACGAACCCAGGACCTTGCACTTGCCAGGCAGGTGCCCTCCACTGTGCGATGCCTCCAGCTCTCATTCTTATGTTTAGTCCGTTTCCAACATGGCTCTCCAATTGGAAGTTCATAAGCTGTCACAGATGTTGTCACTGGAGAACAATTTTTGGGCATGGGTCTCTCTCTGTTATTTTTAGTGTTTAGTTAAGTCCTAGAAAAGAGATATCTAGGGGCTGGGGATGTAGCTCAGTGGCACAGCATCTGCCTGGTAAGCACAAGGACATAAGCTCAATTTCCAGTATTAAAAAAAATGAGACATCTGTGAAGGATCGAAGGATTGATGTGAAAGCTGTGCTGGAGAACTGCAGGTTCCTCAAACAGTAACGGTCAATAATGGCTGTTGCTTGAGAATTTTTGAGTGACAAATGTCCTATCAGACATGTCTGAGAAAATTAAGCAACCTTTTGTAGTCCCACTTCTGTTCTGATTTCATGATAGATTAAACACAGACTCTCATGTTAGGTAGCCTTGGGACATTGGGTAAATCATGTAATTTCTAGAGGAATTCAAGCATTGATATGAAGAAAGGAGGCAGTTCTCCAAGTGAAGAACATTGCTCTCTTCTTATTCCCACATATATTTAATAGTAGCTGCTTCCTGTTCTTTAAAGCCCAAATGGAAGCATCCCAGAGTATCGCCAGCATCTTCTCTGGAGACCATGCTACTCTCAGAGGAGAATTTAACAGCAATGATTGCCCCAAATCTTCCTAATCCAAGCAGCTGGTGAGTGAGGGTAGCAGAGACCAGCTCAGTTGCACAGAGAGGCCCCAGCTCTGAGATTATCTCATTCTAATTTCTTCAGAACTCACTAGCTTTTGGGCATGGTGCACAGCCCATCTGTTGGGTTTGGTGTTTGCCTGACAGCGTGGGAGGAGCCGCAAGTAAGCACAGCCTTAGACATCAGATGTTTAAAGTGCTGTACTTTCTCCTCCATATGGGGACCTAGAATCTCTGCGAGGGGCCCACGGTAAATAACTTTAAAACCTGAGAACATGAACTTTAGATGTCACAGTTACCTGATACTTTCCAGAAGAGATTTAGTAATGGATTGCAACGGAAGGGCTAAACAGCTTAGATTCAAACACTGGTTAAGATCTCTCCCCTCAGTGCCTGAAGAGCTCTCTCTCTCTCTCTCTCTCTCTCTCTCTCTCTCTCTCTCAGAAAGAGAGTCAGAGGGAGAGAGAAAGTATGAAAGAGAGAGAGTCAGAGAAAGACAGAGAGAGAGAGAGAGAGAGAGAGAGAGAGAGAGAGAGAGAGAGAGAGAAGGTGGAGGCTGCATACGACACAAAAAAACTTGAATGGTGGGCCCTTGACTTCAGCAACATTTTGCTTAGAGGTTTCAGATACTTTTATCTCAGAAATTTTATCTCTTTGCTTCAAGAAGTCATACTACTTCTCTGGGAAGGATTGATCTGTAGTATTCAACCTACTGGAGACAGGTCTTTATAAAGACTACCCTAGACAAAACCCTCCTATGACGGATGTACCAAGCAATCTGGAATAACAGATCTGGTTTCCTTGACTTGCTTGAGCTTTGGAGCAGAGTGAAGCTCATTCACACAAGGCCTGAATTTGAGCTTTCACTCAGAGGTGCTCAAGCTCCACTTATGGTGGAATGGATGGACTTAAGGATGTCTTTCTCCTGTATTTGATCAATAATCTTATCTTGCTCCATGTCTTACCTGAAACAACCAATTTGCCATGTCCCTCACATTGATGTATACTTCTATTCATTTTAATGATATTTACTAAAAATACAATCTTAGAGCATTCTAAATGTCAAATAATAGAGGACTGTTTAAGTGAGCTATGATAGAGACATGAAGGAATATCAAATGGGCATGAAATTGAAGTGGGGATGTGGCTCAGTGGTAGAATGCTTGCCTAGTTTGCAAAGGGTACTGGTTTAATCCCCAACACTCCCAAAATAAATCATATTACTAAAGATTATTAAATACTTTTGGAAAACTCTTATAATGGAATACTGAATGAATAAAAGCAGGAAAAGTCTAGTAGATTTAATATGCTCCAAAGAAGCCATTAAAAATCATAAATAGAGAAAAATTTGGAAATGAAGATACAAAAATTTTTAAATGGATTTATCCAGGAAATACAAATAGATTACGAAAATTTGCTTATATACACATTTATAAAATTTCTACCATAATGTGCATTAATTTTATATCAAAAAAATCTAGTTCCTGGGGCTAGGCTAGATGAATGGCAACTGGGCTGTGAAGGTCATTTTAGACTGGACTTTTTTGACTGGGCCTTGAGCTGGGATCCTGCTGAGGCTTTTCGCAGAAGATATCTGCCCATTTTATGCTTGGTGGCCCAAACACATACTGGCAACTTGCATGGTCTGGGTTTAAGATGACAATGGGATAGTGGGGCTGAGGGAGATGTTGAGTTCCAAGGAAGTGACTGCAAGAGGCATGATCTCTCTGACAGTTACCCTCTTCCCGGTGCTCCTGCCTACCAGTTTCAGGGTCGCATTGATGTTCACAGGGGTCCAGGAGCCGCCGGGCACAGAGGTCCATGGCCCAGGGCCCACTGGAGTTCTGTTGAGAGAAGAGAACCACTTGGGCAGGGTTCAGCCAGTCGCTGGCATCCAGCTGGCTCCCCTCCAGCAGAATGAAGCGGCTCCCTGCAGGGTGACAGAGAGGAAGCGTGTGTGCATGTGCAAATCCAACAGCCACACACAAGCCACCCAAGACAGAGTAAGTCCCAGCCCGAGATCATTCCTCCCCCTAGTCCTCACTTGTCATCAGCGCCAGAGGAAGGAATCAGCAGATGGAGCCTTGGATATCACATAGACTGCTGGGAGGCTGGGGCTCTTAGGCCTTTCAGCCATGTCATCCCCCCTGCTGTGACCCAGCCCATCGTGCCAGAGTGTTCCTTAGGGACCCAGGGACAGAGAAGCTCTGTGACGGCCATGGCATGGCTCCATCATTCTCAGCCACAGGCACTGGCACTCGTCCAAGGAATGGGGACCTGCTGCCTGTCTTCACTTGCCATGAAATAGCAGGCCCTCTCACACTGCAAACAGTCCCCACCTGTTTTCAGCCTTACAGCAACTGAGAGAACAGACATTAACAAGTCAATTAGGTGCAGTGGGTTTAAATGATTCAGGGACTCTCAGAACCTATATTATCCGCTCATTATATTGGGGTCTCCCTGGATGAAAGTAAAGTATTACTTCTAAATTTTAGGCTGAGAGCAAGGTACTGCAATGAGAAATTTCTCACCTGGGCAAAGCAACCCCAAAACATGGCTAATCCTTAAACACCTCTACTACTCAGTTTTTCCCTTCTCAAAGGCTCAGAGAAACTTAGGATCTGCCTATTAGCAGCCAATGTGTTTTGCATTTTTCTCAAAGACAGGGGCTCACTTTAAACAAAACTGAAGTGGGTGTGGAGAAAAAAAGTGGTGTCAGTTGTGAGCAATCCAACCTTTTCCTAAATCTTACCCAGTTGGGTTTATTTACCCTCGTACTATAGTATTAGAACATCGTGTCCCTTGGGGTTCTCTATCTTTTCCCCAACCTGGGGCAAAGAGGATACATTATTGGAAGAATGAGCTTACCATCAGCAATCAGGTGCTCAGGGACATGCAGGGTTATTTTGACCACGAGAGGACAATTGACGTGAGAGGAGCACACAAGGCCGATGACACAGGTGGTGATGCTGATTAAAGTCAAGGTAGTCTTATTCACAGGACTTCTGGGAGAACCCACTGAAAGTGAGAAAAATAAACACGACATGTAGGTCAAACTCTTGGCATTGAAAGTCTGACCTGGACTTTTGCTGTCTGGCTTGGCAAATAAAGAAGGTAGGCAAACCTAACCTACAGGGCCAGAAATGTTCCTGGTTACATGACCTCAGTGGCCCTCATCCCTCACAGACAACATGTCACTAGTTGGAATAGGAGAGGATTTGGCTAACTGACGACCCTCACAGTCAGTAAGGGTGAGCCAGGTACAAATCTAGTACATCCTTCCTGAGGAGAGGTTCACAGGAGGAATTATAAAAAAGGCACTGTTCTCCCCACTTGGCTTGCTAAGCTAAGCAAGAATGATTTGGCTTCACATTGCATTTCCATCATTGCCCACAGAGGGCACCCAAATGGAGGGCTGCAGTGCCAGCGTGACAGCCCTGACTGAGGTGGGGTTTCCTGAGCCAGAAAGAGCTAAAGCTAATTCTGTGATGGAGAGCTCTACCAGGTAACCCTTGCTGTGTGGAGCCTTGACTAAGGAAACAGAGCAATCCCCTCTGGATGAGTGGATGAAGTCAGACCAGAAAGCTCCGCACCGTCCTGTAACCATGGAAGAGAAGGATCCTTCCTGGGTCCAAGGAAACACTCCAGCAGGTGAAGACGGGTGGGAATGGAGGGGTTTGGATTTTATTTCTCTTGTTTAGGGATTGTGGCTATAGGGAGCTGATGGAAAGGATAAAATGCTACAAGCAGAAGGACCTTTCTTATGGAGGCAGAATCGATGTGGGAAAGTAAAGAAGCAAGGCAGTAAAATACGAAGGTCTTTCAGGGTGCTCTTGTGTTCTGTGCTAATGTTCACTGCTAAGGTAAAGTGCAAGTGTAGCAGGTGGCCTGTTTGCTCTGACATTGCTACATGAATCCAGCCAGTATCTCTGCAGGATGGAATCTATTTCCACACTTAAAGATCTCCAGCCCCTCCCTGTCTGAGCAGCAGAGCCATCACCAACACATCTGCTGGGCACTAAAATACAGCCCTTCCAAAACTGGACTCAGCATCTCCCCTCAAGCCCAGCTCCCTCTCCTATTTCTGTTGCCCAGCACACGGCTCTGCTGTCTGATTAGTTTCTCAAGTCAAAAACTTCCATCATGTCCAACACTCTCCTCTTACCCACAAGCCGCACCCTTCCATCACCAATGCCATTAAATCTTCTTGCTGCGCGTGTAATTTCTCCAGTCTCCAGTCTCACCCTCCCTGTTCTCCTCCTCATCTTATCCTGAGGCTGTGACAGGAGCCATGCACCTGTCTCTCTGTAGCAGCCTCAGCAGCTCTCACCTGACCTTCACACTGTCCCAAAGGTGTGCCTGGCGGAGCAGAGCTGACCGGGACAATGCTCTTTACAAGCTCCCAGTGACTGCCCGAGAGAGCAGGCCCAAGTAAGCCCCTTCTAGCCAAGGCCAAGCACACTCTGGCTATTCTAGCTTCTGCTGTGTTACTTTCCAAGCAGCTCCTACACTTGCACCTTCAGCTTCATTCTAGGAACTATTTGTCGCTGCCTCACTCAGCCATCATTGTTTATGTCTCAGTGACTCTGCACATATTATTTCTTCCTCCGCAGAAGGCCATTTCGTCACCTTGTCATCCCAGCATACACCTACTCTTCAAGGCTGCTCAAACAACAACTCCCTGTAAACACATCCCTGAAACCTTCAAGAACACATTCTCACCCATTCCTCGCTCCTCTGGTCCTCGTGCACCCTGCTGCTATAGCTCTTAGCACACAGCACCCTCCCTGCTTGCAGATAATTGCCATTGCTGCAATCACCTGCTACGGGTAGACTTGTTTGCCCCTCTGTCTGCATCATTAACTCATAAACCAGCATCTCTACCTGGCTTCAAACCTCCAGTGGCTCCCCATTTGCCCACAGAAACAGCTGCAGACTTAACACATACCAGGCATGTCTACAGTTCCTTGGGCTCTTCCTTACCATGCGAATGTGCTTCGCTTTATACTTGGTCCAAAGCTTCTGTACTGAGCTCCTTTCACTTCCATGAAAATTTTGTATTCTTCTATGCCTTTAAGTCTTTGTAGGCACTATTTTCCTCCACTGAAATATTCTTCCCCTAGACTCCTCTTTTGTGAAATCCTTTACAATGTATGTAACACAGTTCTAATTATTTTCCTCTTTGTTGTCTCCTACTGCTGCTATGTAGAATTTACTATTCTTTCTCCTGAGTGCTCCTTTTATTTAGATCACTAAATGAAGTCTTATCAGTGCCCTATGTGTTTATGTTTCTACCAGGGATCATGAGGCCTGACCCAGAGCAGGTATGTTTAAAATGATTTGCTGGCTTGATTGACACATCCATTCCAATTAAATAAATACAATCACCCTTAATAGGTGAAATCCTTTCCTAGGCTCTTTGAAGAAATAGTTAGGTATGTTCCACCTCTAAGAGGCTTACCATCTAGTTAATAACAGTAAGCAGGTAATGTACTTGGAGAGCTTGCTATGTGAAGAAACAGTTTTATATGCTAAAGAGGTACATTCTAATTCATCACGATGGATTTCTTTAAATAGGATTTCATGAAAGCAGGGTGTGATCTGCTCCAATGGGACTGAGGCTGGGTGGGACTGGGTGAGTATCTGACCTATGGGATGAGCGTCACGGGGAGAGAGACGCCTTCATGTACCTTCTTACCCCAGGGAAACTGAGGCTTCAAGAGTGAGGCTGCCCCAAACCCCACCGAACTCTTCAGGGAAATGGTGAAAAGTCCTTCAATGTTGATGACAGTGAAGTCTATAGAGCCTGAAGTTACAATTGGACAGCTGTTCTCCAGTCTCTAGAAAGAGCATCCCCTGTATGAGGAGAATTCAAGTGGACACAGGACAGAGGCAATATGTGTTTCCCGATGGGCACGAGTTGGGCACTGTCTGGGGCATGTGCCACTCAAGCACACCTCCAGGGCCCCCACTACACCTCCAGGGCACCCTGTCTGAAACTTCTGAATGTGCATACTGTGCAAACCTGGGGCTGCACTACAGAGAAGTCCAACTGCAGCAACAGGGGCTTCACAGTGCTTTAGAATCCCCCCCAGCCCCCATGCATCTTGGTATAGTCTGATCCTGACAGCAGCCCTACACACAAGGCATGTACACATGTGATACACAAGGAAACCGAGATGCAGAGAAGTTGTTGCCCTTGTCCAGTATCACACAGCAAGTGAATGGTGAAGCTCACTGGTGTCTGAACACAGAACTCTTGCAGGGACGATGGTGACACTAGGAAAGCCATGGTCGATGACAGCTACATCTGCCATCTGTGAGTCCCTAGCATCACCATGGGGTGGCCCCTGCAGGGGCTGCAAGGAAAGTGATGAGCATGGGCTAGCCCTCTGAACACTTCCAGAAGAGGGGGCTGGAGGCCGAGGCCCTAAAATCCTGTGGGGTCAGGGTAAGGACTTAACAGTCCAAGCCTGACCTAGATCATTCTTCAGCTTCTCTGCCCCCACCTCACATTCCTGCCAAGCTCAATTCCAAGCCCAGGGCCTGTGAGTAAGCGAGGGATCCAAATAGTCCCCAGTTTTTTCACATAAAACACACGTTGTCAACTTTATTTCTTATGTCTCAACAGCAAAATATGACTCCTGAGGCTTGCAGAAGGAACTGAGAGTCTTCTGACCAAGAAATAGCCTTTCAAACAACTTGAAAACTTGTTTGAGAGTGCCATTATCTGGGAGAGATGATTCTCTGAAATTTTCCACTCTAGGTTCTTCTTTCTTCCTTAAGAGGAAACACCAATCATGGTCCAAACATTTGCCCTGCATCGATTGGCTCTCGCTCCCAGAGCCGGCTCCAGGCCCAGTCTCTCCTGCCTTTCCTGCCTCCACACCAGCCCATCTTCCCGACCCACTGCCCTTCCTACCTCTACTGCGCCTCCGGCTGCGGGAGGGATCCGTGTAGAAGGTCAGCTGAGGGTCATTTTCCGCTTCTGTGCCAGAGTCCCCTTCAGGGTTCAAGAAAGCGGAACCAGCTGGAAGGAAAAGAAGCAAGCGAGAGACAGCGGTTTCAGGGGAGTCCTCATGGCACCAAATCACTGGGCGAGTTCAGCAGAAAAGCCTGCCAAAATAACAGGGCGTTGCCTAGCAATCTGAGAGAAGTAGGCAAGGGGACTGGGGCTTCTGGGGGTTACCTGCTGGACAGCATGCCAGGGTGGGAGAAACAAGAAAGGGAAACTGTTATCAGAGATTAGGATGCTGGTTAATAATTCTGGTTAATAGGATGGAATGATGCAATGGCAGCAAAGAAAATCATACATTTGTGCTTTTTTTTCCTGCTTCTTCAATTAATACATATTTCACACATATGAGAGAATAGAGAAAATACACTAAAATACGTAAGAGAACAACTCTGGTATCCTCTATATATTCTAACTCAAGAAGGAACTCTGTTAATATTTAGAACATATACTCCCTGTCTTTTTCTGATGCAGAAACAGAGAAGGGTTTTTAATATCCCTTTAGATGGTATTATTTTGTACCTTCTCTTTTTTATAGCAGCATTATTTTCCACTTAATAAGCAGGTGGGCAACTTTCCATATTAACAAATATAGCTCAATATTGTCCTTTTAATGGACTGTAAGCTGTTGGACAGTGGAGGAATATACATGGTCGGAAACCATTCTGTGTTCATGGACATTTAAGCTATTTTCAGTTTTTTCTCATTTCAACAATGTTGTGATAGTGTCTTTTACACACATCTTTATATCCTTGTCCAATTCTTTCCTAAGCATACCTTGTTGTTGGTAAAAGGACTTGATGGAAGGGTTTCTACATTTATGTTTTTCAGTAAGTAGCTTTTAATTGGCATCTCCTAGTTGTGGGTAAGTGTGTGAGTGACCAACCGGTGTTAATGGCCTTGCCTCTGCCCATATTCAGGAACCCAGTTGGGTTCCTAGGCAAGCCCTAACATCAGACACGGATACCTCTGGCTTTGTTGTTGATCCGCTTTCTCTGGCTACTGGAAGTATGAGACAGGAGGGTGGCCTGCTGGTGGTTGGAGTCCACGGGACTGGTGGCGATGATGTTATCTTTATACTTGTTCATTAGTGAGAGCTTGGCATTGTCACTTCCTGCAAAAGGCAGAGTCGAGACAGAACTGTAAGAGAAAAGCTCAAAGGAAGGGAGAGCCAGGAAATCTTTATGAACCAAGTAGACATAAAGAGCTTGTGATGTGAGAGATTGACAGAAACTAAAATATCCTTCTTTGATTTCTAGGAACAACAAAATTATGGGAGAAGGAGTGAGCTAAGAGGAGTACAGTTGAAGATCCAGTTCAACTAATTCTTTATCAATAATGTTACCCCTGCCACCCTTTGTCTAGACACAGATTGTGGATTTCTTTCTTTTGGTCAGCACAGAGTTTCAAAAGGATCTGAATTTGTGCACACACAGGCAAACTCACCTCTTCTCTTCATCTTGTCTACACCATTCCCTATGCTGTGACCTCCAGCTGCTGCATGATTCTGTATGATCTATCTGCTCCTTAAGCCATCCATGTCTGTGATCCCTGTGCACCGTATGCCTACTTGGTGGCCTTGGCACTGTGCTAGGTGCTGAGGGGCACATGACAGCTACTGAGGACCTGTCCCACCTTCACTCTCAGGATTTCAGTGTCACTGCAATGAATACACAGATAAGATCTCTTCCAGATAACAAATGGAATGTCCATTTTCTTCTATGTGACTTCACTCTTTTATGCCCCACCAAAAGTCTATGTGTCTTAAACAGCCTGTGCTATCAAATACACTTTCCTCAAAGTTAATTGGGCAGTGTCTTAAAGAATCACTGTTGAGGACTTATCTATGGGAAGTATTCCTCCATAGCACATGGGATTTGAAGAGAGAGACAGGTGGCTGTTGTGGAAGAAAAGCTGAATTTGTTCTGATGGACTAACTCCAACTCACTTCCCTCCAGTGTCTCCACAGATACACAAAACATCTGAAGTCTGATAGCTTGATTGCATTCCTTTAATTTCTTTGAAAATATACATCCTTTGTAGAGACCACAGAGGCAAAGACAGGCTAACACAACTAAAACACCTCTGGTCCAAGTCTCAGAAGTCAGTGAATAAAACAGATAGCATAGTCCCCTCCAGTTCATTGGAGAATTAAATTGCCTATGCAAATCTATGACAAAAAAAGTCAACACATGTTGATTTTTCATACAATCCTCTTGATTCCCAGAGAGTTGCTTATTATATACTACACAGGCTGTAACTCACTCCTCTGTTGGATGTAAAGAACTTTCTGCTTCCAGTGCATGAAGGAAGTAGAAAGATTCTGATTTTTCACTGTTCTACTGATTTTCTAGATTAGAAAATGGCTCAGTCATCACAGGATAAAGGTTTGCCCACCTAACCAAAGTTACTTGCAAATCCCTAATCCCCCCACCCCATTCCCTGAGACCAAGGGCTGAGCAGGCTGCCCTTCTACCATCCCACCTGGCGTGAGGTCCATCCCTGCCTTCTCATTGCAGCCCTGCAAAGAGTCCAGGGTGCGCGTGACCTGGCTGGCGAAATCCTCCCCTCCATTCATGCACTCCCTCTGCAGGTGGTGGCGCAGGTCCGTGATGTCATACTCATAGCCATCCAGGATGGGCGTCTCCCGGATGCTCAGGGTGCCACTGGAGTTGTGGCCCTGCACGCGGGCATTGCGCAGGCTCTCCCGCCCATGGCCACCGATCAGCACAGAAGGAATGTAGTGAATCTCATTGGCTGCCTCGGCACTGGCACTCTTCTGGGGCTGAGGCACTCGGCGGCGTTTGCACCAGCGCCGGCGTGTGTACAGGATCATCACGAGGCACAAGATGGACAGCAGCAGAGCAATCATGCCACCCTGGGAAGAGAGGACAGCGCATGGGCATGGGGAGATGGCCAGCTACTCCTGTGGAGAGCCCTAGCCCCTCCTGATACCACTATGGGTCACATCACTTACTCACTAATCCACCCATTCACATGGGCTAAAGATTTATAGCATACATCATTCAGCAGCAAAGGGAGACTGTTCTGAAACCAGTGTTTAACAGGAGAGCAAAGTGGAACCAGCATGGCCAGTGTGTCATTTCAAGAGATCCAGTTGCTCCTGACTTAGCAAACAATTTGAAGAGACAGAAATCTGTATGAGACAGAAGGAGGGGGAATTTCAACTACAATAGTAGAGAAGAAATCTGCTTCATGGGAAGTTGTTTCAGACCATTGTTAAAGTGGAATCAGATGACTTCTAGTTTCATCAGGTATTGCACTGAACAATCCATCTGAGGAGGGATTCTAACTCTGGATCCTCAAATCAGTGATTCAAATAGCTGCTAAACCTCAGATTTATCATCTCTAACTGGAGAAGATGCCACTTAGCTGCCCATGGTGGTCCTAAGAATTACATTAGGTAACTATGTGAAGTACCTAACATAATACATTACACACAATAAAGACTGTCCTCAGCTTAAACTTCTGCGTGTCTAAGTAACTGAAGCAACAGGGAATCCATCCAGAGACCCAAAGTGAAATTTACGTACATCAGAAATTCACCACCAAATGTGAGGAGAAATCATGTAATTTGAACATAACTTTGGGGGTCACAACTTTTCCATAATCACACTGTTCTGAGTGAGCTCCTTGGTGTTACTACAAAGGGAAAATGCTGAGTCAGACTCAAAGGCTGGGGTCACACTGGCAGAAGAGTTTGCCTCCTGCATCTTCCAGTGCTCAAAGGCCACTAGCTCAGAGGCCCTTCCAGACCAGTCAGGATACCATGCAGCTGTGTCAGAAGCAAGAAGGCAGCGGACAGACACTGAACACCTTACTCTGACATCAAGCCAAGGCAGAGTTGGGAGGGAGCACCTTTGAGTCCACATCTGCACAACACTAGGCAGTCTCAAATCACACTGTGCAAATCTGTGCTCACTTCCTCTGCTTTGGTCAGTATTCCTTCAAGCCTGTTTCATTAGACTGGGGTGCCAAATGGTTCTGCTCTGAAACTTGGGCTTCAATCATTGCCAGACTACTGTACAGCTATTAATTCAGGATTCCCACCAACTCAATGATGGGTCAAGATTATTCCCTCAAACATATCAGAGGGGCTTTTTCCAGGCTCATAATAATTAGATTTTGGATTTATAAAGTTCCTCTCCCAGTAAATCGTCCCACTTACTCCCCCTCCCCCATCTATGTGAGCAAAGGATCTCTCTCTCTCTCTCTCTCTCTCTCTCTCTCTCTCTCTCTCTCTCTCTCTCAGCACAGGAGAGTAGAGACACGAAGCAACACAATGAGCTGTCAAGTGACAGGCCACATCATGTGCTTGTTGGGTACATATAGAACTTCCTGCTTTTCAATTAACTGAAAAATTTTATGTCCAGGTGCAATCTCTTATGCAAATACAGAGAAAACATGCACAAGTTACACTGGGTGTGAGTACAAAGCCAGGTATCCTACATCCTTCTGGTTAAGTGCCTCCTCCCCTTCCATCCATCCTGGTGGCCCTGTAAATGCACACAAAGTCCCTGGGTCCCAGGAAACCTGGACTAGAAGATGAAGAAAAAGGACAGTGCATAACCAAGCCCTGCAGCCATCCATGCACACGTGTGTGGAACCCAGGAGTTTGAAGCAGAACCTGATCTCACAGTCACACGGGCTATCCCTTCCCTCACCCCAAATTGGAACTGCGACAATAGGTAACTAAGCCACATAGAAGGAATAACTTCCTGGCTGAGAGAAGTTGTCAGACATTGAATTAGGCTAGTGAAAGCCAGAGGTAATTTTATTCCCTAAAGAGCTGTAAGAGTATCATAAACATCAATCTTGGAGGGATGGCTTAGACACCATCTTTCCAGTTCACAGAGGGGTTTGCAGGAGCCCCTTTCACCTTCCCTCTCTAATTCTCCTTTCAGATGAATGCAATAGGTGTAGGATAAGATTCAGGCCATAGGTTCACCCCTCAAAAGCACAATAATACATCAAGACAGACTATTTCTGGATGTTTACTCTGTATCAGACATTTGTTCAGACTGTTCCATGCTTTTAACTCTAAGAGGTAGTGCCCATTGGTACCAGATTTTTCAATTGAAAATTCTGAGGCCCAGGGCCAGCCAAATAGTCCAGTGGATTGAAGCACCTGCTTAGAGAGACACTGTAGCTGGAGTTTGATCCCTGGCATGCCATGTCAACCCCGCCTCTGGGGAGTACTGAGATGTCCATTGAGACTAGGCATGGTAGTATGTGCCTATAATCCCAGCTTTTGGGATACTGAACACAGGCTCATCAATATGAATCTGGTCTATATAGCGAGACCCTGTAGGCCTTTACTAAAATACAAAAAGAAGAAGAAGAAGAAGAAGAAGAAGAAGAAGAAGAAGAAGAAGAAGAAGAAGAAGAAGAAGAAGAAGAAGAAGAAGAAGGAGAAGAAGAAGAAGAAGGAGAAGAAGAAGAAAAGATATTCATCCCAGGAGCTGCCATTTTAAACAA